CCGCCCCGCAGCTGGGGGCGCCGCGCGGGGCCCGGGGTGCCATGGAGGAGCCGCCGCCGCCCGCCTGATCCCCGAGGCCGCCGGCACCGAGACAAAGAGCGGGGCTGCGCCCGCGCCCGCCCGGTGAGTGCCGCGGGGGACCGGGGCGGGCGGGGGGCTCCGTCTTGCGCCGCGGCCCGGGAGCAGGTCTCGGTCCCACTGCCAGCCCTGCCTGACACCCCCGGGCACCCCTTTCTCCGCTCGCCCATTCACGCGCGGACACCCTGGTCCGCCAGCCCGCCAAGCCCAGCGCACCTGCGGCATCCCCGTTCATAGCCGGCTACCCTCCGCCCAGACTGCCCTCCCGCCAGACACGCCGTGCACCCCCAGCACCCCCGTTCCTTGCCGAACGATTCTGCGCCCCCTGCCCGAACCTGCCGGAGGACCCTGAACGCCCCCGCGTCACCCCGCACAGCCCCGTCACCCCAAACGCCCCCGCGCGCACCACAGGGCGCAACCCGCGCGTCCTGAAGGCTCCCGCACCACGCCCCTGTGCCCGACCGCCCAAACACGGCTCCCCGCCCCGGGCACCCCCGCCCCGGACACTGCCCCTCCGCGCCCAGCACCTGCCGCAACCTGCCCCCTTCCTGCACAAACACTGCCCAGCCCAGGCACCCCCGGCGCACACCTCGCCGCCCCCTCCCAGCCGCTCCCTCCCAGCCGCTCCTCGCCCCTGCCCCGGGGACACAAAGGGGTCTGTGCGCCCGCTGCCCGCCCGCTCACCCGCCGCCGCTCTCTGCCCCGCAGGCCGAGCCATGGTGGAGCCGCCGGCCGAGCCTCCCCCGCAGCCCTGCCCGACGCCCGGGGGGGCAGCGGGGGGAGAGCCGGCCCGTCCTGGAGAGCAGTCGCCGCTGCTGCACCTGGACCTGTACAACTTCGACTGCGCGGCGGCGGAGGGCAGCCGGTACGTGCTGACCAGCCCGCGGTCGCTGGAGGCCTGCGCCCGCTGCGCCGTGCGGCCCGTGGAGCTGCTGCCGCGGGCGCTGGGGGACCTGCTGAGAGAGGCGCCCGGGCGCTCCATGCGGGTGGCCGCCGGCCTCTACGAGGCCTACGAGCGGGAGCGCCGCCGCAAGCTGCAGCAGTGCCGGGAGGAGCGGGAGAGGATTATCCGCGAGGAGAAGAGGCGGATCCTCGCGCCCCTCGGCAGCCTGCCGCCTTCGCCCGCCGCCCGCGTCTCCTCCCGGGCTGCGGCCGTAGCTGCCGGCGGGCCCCGGACCCATGGCGGGGGGAAGGCCAGGGCATCGAGGGGTGCCAAGGGAAAGAGCCACTCCCTGGACTCGCTGCAGAAGCGGCGCGAGGGTAGCTGGGGCAAGACCTCCTCTGAGTCGGGCGCTTCGTCGTCCTACAGCGGGGAGAGCCTGCGGGAGCGGGGGGGCAAGGTGTGCGGCCGGGGTCGGGGGGTAGCCGCCGCCAATGGGACTCTGCTGGGGCGCAGCTTCAGCCTGGGCGACCTCAGCCACTCACCGCAGACTGCCCAGAGAGTCGAGAGGATCGTCAGGGAGGTGAAGAGGAAGAAGGGTCTCTCGGAGGTGCCAGAGAGAGACAAGAAGATCGCGGCACTGATGATCGCCAAGCACCAGGAGGCCAACATCCTGCGGGAGCAGCGGCAGGCAGCACACCTGCAGTGGGACAGCCAGCGGCGCCTGGCTGAGCAGCGGAAAGAGCAGGAGGAGAAGGAGAAGCAAAGGGCCCTCCTGCAGGGTCAGCGGATGTGGGAGAGCCAGGTGGAGAAGCGGCGAGGGAGACTGAACCAGGAGCAGGAGGAAGCTGCCCTGATGAAGCAGAAGCAGCTCCTGGTGTGTGAGGAGAGGTGGCGAGAGCAAGCGGAGAAGCAGGAGCGGCTGCGGAGGGAGAGGCTGGAGAGGGCCATCAAGGAGGACAAGCAGAAAAAGCTCCATCAAGAGCTCAACCTAAAGGCAAAGGAGGAGGTCAAGAAGGAGCACCAGGAGCGAGAGGAGCAGCTCCTGCAAGAGAAGCTGTCCACGGCTGCACAGAAGAGGCTGAAAAAGGAGGTGCAGCTGCAGAAGGAAAAGAGACTGTTCAACCAAGCAGAGAAGCTGAAGCATGAGGCCTTGCTCAAGGAACTGGCCAAGCAGGAGGCAGAAGAGAAGGAAATGCTGAAGGCATCCCTGAAGATGAGTTTGACAAAGGCTCAGGAGAACTATGAACAACTTGTGGAGAAGAGGAACCAGGAGCTGAGGGAGAAGGCCAGGCGTGAGGACATGCAAATCCAGAGAGCTAAACTGGCAGCAGAGAAAAAGGAAAGAGAGCAGAAGGAGCACTTGGAAGCACTGGCTAGAGAGACAGAGAGAAAGCTCCAGCATGCTGCCCAGGTGGCTGAAGAGGCTGTCCAAGAAAAAGCCCGCAAAGTGGTCTTGAGCCGTCTGGAAAAGGAAAAGGTGCAGAAGATGAACAAGCAAAAGGTGGAACAGTATGAGGACTTAAGGCGCAGGGAAATTCTCCTCTCTATAGAGAGGAAGCTGGAGAGAAGTGAGCAGATCTTCAAGGAGAAGAAGACTGTTTTAGAAAATGCCAGGTCTGTTGCTCGAGCATCCTTCCATGTCCGGGAAAAGGTGCGGGAGGAGACGAACACACGCACCTTTGACAAGATGGCCTTCGAAGCAGAACTGCATGCTCAGCTTAGTAAGAAATGAAAGATCTTGTCATGGATGAGTGAGGATGCACCACTGGTTGTCCATCATAATGTGACAGAGAGCTCTGTGGCATGAGCATTTAAAAAACAATGAAAACCAACATCCACCCTAATTTCGTATTTTGGGGGAGCAGGGTACCGCACAAAAATGTGGCAGCTATTTCACGTACTGTTTTAAATACATCTTTTGTTCTGGGTGTGTTTTAAAAACTGACCTCAGTCATCCTTACAGAGAGGAAGCAAGTTTTTCTGTCCTCCACCCCGCAAGCACATGCATTTTTTCAGAGAGGGCTGCAAAACCTGCTTGAAGCCTCTGAGTTACTGATTGATTGTTTACACCAGAGATGACTACAGCTGCACTCTCCAGCTGGAAATGCAAACAGAGGTTGCTGACTACTGGAGCCTGCTGAAAAAGAACCAAAACCACCCTAGCTGATTCTGCCTGGAGTGATGGGCAGTTTGGTTTAAGTTACGGGACTGCAGTTTCCAAGCTGCTGCAATCCCATGCTGAAGGTGAGGAAGGCTGGAGTACAGAATGCCATATACCCTGGGTGCCCCTTGGCTGCTAGTAGCAAGCTAGGGAAAGCACAGATCGAGGCCATGTAAGTAGACATCATGATCAGAGCTGGGCAGAAGCTGTCTGAAAGTGCTCGCAAACACAATTTCTTTTTTGCTGTTACCCCTCCCAAGGTATCCTCACCTCTCCTCCTTTCCAAGTTTCTCTTACCAACATCTGTAGAATTCCCTCATTTCTTTTGGAGGAGGAAAAAAAGGAAAGAAATTTGTGGACAGTCCACAAACCGACGAGCACCCACACAAGCCACTTGTTCATTAAAATATAAAAATGAATGAACCTGTGGAATCTGGACTTTGGGGAAAACACAGAGGGCACTTGTAAATGGAAATCACCACCCTCAGGAATTCTCAAAACTCAAGAAGACCCTCAGCCACCTTATCCAATTTGCCCTGTCTTGAGCGGGCGGTTGGACCAGATGTTCTCCAGAGTTCCAACCTTATAGTTCTCATGAGCTGCATACAATGACACGTTTGCCCAGCTCTTATCAGTGTCTACTGAGCAGGGCAGCATTTCTCTGCCACTGGTGCTAAGAGTTGTATTCTTACGTAGAGCACAAGAAAGAGTAGATGCACAAAATAAGGTACATTACAGATTCTCTTAGATGAGGATCATGTCTTTTTTATAAGAGCTAACTCAATACTATTTAGGAGGAACTGAGTCCTTCTGCAATTAAATACACCAGAAATGTGAAAAGCCTACCTGAGCCTTGTGCACAGCATTCAAGTACAACAGTGTTCTGCTCCAGGTTTCCACAGTTACTCTTGGCTGAGTTGGAGTTGTAAGCGCACATCCAAAGCAGGCACCTTGGTTTAGTTTCTTTCTGGCTCTAGGCAGCATCGCCTCTCTGTTCCACCATCCGTGACGCCGTATTGGGTTGCTCTGGTGATAGCAGTCAGACCTGGAGCATGGAGGAGAAGCAGCAAGAAAAGACAGGATCTCGTTTCTTTGCAGATGTCTCTGACGTACAACACAGTAGAAGAGACAACCAGGAGAGGGTTGACATATGGCACAGACATGCAGTCTAGCATGCATAGATTGCTTACCAGAATTTCCCAGGAGGTAATAGCAGGTCAGAGCTCTCCTAGAAGGCTTTAAAGAAGTTGTTAAATGAACACTAACAGTAGACCAAATACACTTTGGTGCCCTGCAAGGCTAGAAACATTACACAGTGTTGAAAATTAAGACATAGGTATTTTTTTTTTATTTTTATAGGACTTGATTTTTGAATCAAAGTATGATTGATGGTGTAAAGGGCAGGCAGCATGAAAATAGGAATTAGGGCACCTGAGCAATGTTTGCTCTGTCAGTCATTGGCTCACTGTGTAATGCCAGGCAAGTCCTCAGAGGCTGAACCTGCTCCTATTGATATAAACGGAAGCAGAGTTGGGCTCTTGGGATTCACAGGAAAAGACTGTGATTGGCAAAGCACTTCAAAGACTTTGGACAAATGTTGCTTATAAAGTACAAAGTAATATTTATTTATGTATTTATGTATTTATTTATTTATTTATTTGAGTGGTTATTAAAGTAAAACATCCCTCGGTGAAAAGCATTAACACCCAAATCTGGTAACTGTGGGAAGGACAACTGCATTAGTGTTTCCAGCAGGGAGTCTGTCCCCTCAACTTCATCCTCAAAGCAGCAATTAGAACAGTGAAACAAATCCTGTTCTAACACTGGACAAGGTCCTTGAAAAAACACAGACTTCTCCACACGTTGTCCGTGCCTCAGTGATTTTTATGTGTGCCCTCATAGCTGCAAAGACCTAGAAAAGAGATGGCCAGTGGCCCCAGTCCATCCACTGCAAAACACTGCTCCCTGACAGCAGTAGAGTTGGGATGACACCTGCAGTGACTCCAGCATAGACAATGTTTCATCTAGTTTGTAGCCTTTAGGGCTGCAGAGAAAGCCTGCCAGCATGTATACCAGGGGTTTTGCTTCCTGTGTTGTTGCACTGGGGTTGAAATTCACTGCTTGGTTCATTTAAGAGAGGGAAAAGGGGGAGAGCTGGGAAACAGTGGAAAGAAGGCAAATGGTGATGGGTGAATGAGCAGGCAGTCTCTAACTGGAGGAGCATGTTTTCCCTAAAGCTCTACTGCAGTCTACCTGAAGACTGTCCAAACTTCCCTCTGACGAGGGCATTTCCAGATGGACATTCTGCAGCCCAGGAGACGTCTTGGTCACTGACTGTAATTACACCTGGGGTCCATCCCTTGCTGCTGACTGAGTTTGACACCCTGGGGCTACAGCTGAACTAATCAACACAAACCTACATGAAGGTAATTGGATTGGCAAACTAGTGTTCCTCTACTGTGCAGTGTACAGCTCAAGTTTTGAATGTGCAGTCTGAGAAAAAAATATTTTTTTTCAAAAGACACTGATCTGTGTATGGATATTTTTTATTTCTGTAGTGGTTTAAGTCCAAAGTCCATGAAATTCAGTGACTTTTATGAGTTTAAAACTGCAGCATGGAAAATTTAAGTCAGCAGTTTGGATGGAGGCATGAGAGGTATTTCTTAGGTGTGCTTATGCTTCTGTTTATTTGAGAAGGAATTCTACTGCTGGATTTCTGTAGGAACAGAAATTAAACAGTGGGTCACATGTAAAAGGTATGACCCTTTTAGATGGGGCTTATTTTGGTTTTTTTTGCAATTGAGCTGCAGGTTAGGGAGAACTAAAAAAGCAATCAACATGGAGGAGAAGCACTGACTAAGGAGCAGTTTCTTTTGGCTGAGCTGTGGAGGAATTTTGTAACACAATGGAACACATTTTGTATGTTCAGAAACTCTTGTTTATGTGGATTGCCTAGTCTCTAATGGCATCTGGGCTGAAACTGGAGCCCTTCGGTGCCAGAGAGAGTGCCAACAATCCTAGCCGTGTGCTTCCTCTTAACACAAAATTCATCACTAAAACTCATTCTGTCTGTCAAGGTTGAATTTGACAGATACGTCTAAAAGCTGTTAGGAGGAGCAGCTGCACCACCACTGGTTAATATTTTACAAGGTAAATTTTAAGCCAGTTTATACTAAGTTCTTTCTCCACATGAATAAGAGGGATGTGAGGATTAAATTTCTCACCTTGGTTATCTGTTTTCCTCTTAGGATGCTTATGGAGCTCCAGACTCATTCTGTGCTAAAATTTCTCCTGATACCAGGGGAATTCTGTTTGCTAAACAAATGTTGAATATGCAGTGCTCACAGGTTTGAGAGGGGACTTAGTTAAAGACATCTACATGTCTTTATTAAGCCAAGGCTGGACAGGGAGGTGTGGGAAACAGAATTAGCAATACATAGGCTGGCTTACCATATCCTTCCTGAGGATGTCTTCTCATTGCCGCAGTTGTTGCATCAAAGAAAGACTTGCTTTCAGCTGTGGGCATTCTTCTGCAGGTAAAGACAAAAATGTAGTAGTTGAAATGCCATTTCCAACATGGGGTTTTTTTGGTTTGGGCATTCTTTGGTTTTGTTTTAAAGAAGATGCAGGGAGATGTAAGGATGAGATACAAAGCTAGCTAGATGCAGCACATTACAGATGGTTACTGGTGCCTTCACACGAAGTTCTGCTCTGTGGACCTGAGACTGTGCTGTTTAGTAGAGCAGCCACTACATCCAGGAGAGCAGAGGTGCTCTGTCATCTGTTCTCAGATCACACAGGCTCCCTTCAAAGCAATCCAGTGTAAGCTCTAAAGCTTTGCTGAGTCAAGCTCCAAGGGAATATAGTTTGTTAGGACTGGATTCAGCCTGCATAGCTGTAAAATAAGGCTGTCATAGTCAAAGAAGAGGAAGACACTGGCTTAGCCCCGTCCCTCTGGAAGTCAGCCCCAGACACCTGCTTTGCAGTGCAGTGCAGGGATGTTGTGGTGGGAGCTGACGGAGCTCTAATGCAACTGCTTGGGGGAGTGCAGCCCACAAGTCCTTGGAAGCCAGTAGCACCCACTCTGAAGAGCCAGTACACAGGCACATACAGAAAATCATAATGCTTCTAGGCAGGCAGCAGCTCTGCCCTCCTTTTTGGTGAGATTTTACTAGGTGGTGGTTTGAAGAGAAAACACTGGGAACAAGAAAAAAAAGAAGCAAAACTCTTCCATCACAGGACATCTGGAAAGAGATTCTCTTCCATTCATGGACACCATCCAGCACTCTGGGGAGGCCAATCTTCAGAGCCTTCATAATGAAATATGCCCCACATCCCACATGCCTCTTAACACTAGGACATGAAAAAAATTCGTTTCTAGGTCTGACTTCTTTGTCCTTAGCCCATTCTTTGAGCCTGCATCTTTACTGTGAAACATTACCTTGTTATTATAAGATTCTAGTCTGAAAGGACCCAAGTCTTTCTCTGGTAACTTTGCACTCATCTCCTACATCCCTGCCATTCAGCAAGGAATCCTCTGCATTGCAAAACTACCCTGGCAGTAAGAATCATCCTGTATTACAAAACCAAACTGCCAGTGCTATTTTATTCTTATGTGCTCTAAGCAGCTCCCCGCATCTAATCTCAGGGCCTGGCTGTGAGGTAAACTAGTTATCGCCCCCAGCCTAAGTACAAGCAAACTGAAGCAGAAAGAACTGATGTGATTTGCCCCAGGCCATGTTGGCCTCCCTGATCTAGCTGGAGCTCTCACTCACGTCCTCCCTAATCCCCATGCAGTCCTCTAATTGACCTCTTCTGGCTGCAGTGGAGGGATATCCCTGTGCCCCTGCTGTGGCAGATCCCCTGACTCCTGATCTGCAGCTGGTGCTTCATGGAGGAGAAAGGTTTTAAACCACCAGCCATCACTTCTGGGCATTGTCTCCAAACCCTAAAACACTTTTAAATACTGGGGGAGGGGGTGGGGGTGTCTGAAGATTATATAAAGCTGCACTGGGAGCCCAGGACAGGGGCAGGGTGAGAGGAAGGTGTGTTAGCAGAAATGGGCAGGAACTACAGATGGAGATGTTAAATGAATGAGTAAACATGGACTGAGTATCCTTATACCATCCTGGCTAGCTCGAATCACTTAGATCTCTATGTGACAGCATACAATAACACTTTCAGCACATTAAACTTAGAGGGCCCAGTTCATCCCATTAGTTACCTCTCTAGGGCCAGCAGAGTTATTCCAGGAGTGAATATTCCAGGAGTCTAGATATTTTAAACTTTTCATTATTTATGTAAATCACAGTGGCTTGGCAGACCTTATGCTTTCAAGAGCTCGGTGGAAATTTCCTCCTGCCTGAGCAGTACCAAGGCAATGGGATGGGAGGTTCACTTATCAGCTGATATTTTTAGACTGGGTGACAAATTTGTCAATACCCTGGTGCTGGACGCTGTGTTCCTGGGTGTTTACAAAGCAATGTCTGCTTAAGCAGCTCAGTGCAGCTGAGAGGAAGAGCAGCTGGCACAAAAGTACCTTGTCAGACAATAAGTTAAACAGTTGGGAGTAAGAGATTTGGCTCTTTGTGTGTTGGGCACTACTGGGAATGTTTTGATTTGTAGGAGGGCAATGTGATAATTTAATCTCTTTTTTAATCACCTCCAAAGTAAGCTGTGCTATTTTTGACAATTATTTAATGATTTATAAGAGGCAGGAAAATAAATGAGGAAGGGAGCACAAAACACAGATGTGTAGGTAAAGCTGAAAGGCATTCTTCTTTCCCTACTGAAAAAAGTCATATTATCCCAGCAGGTGAAGTTTTTGTTAAGTGCTGTGTTGCGT